GTAGTCTAGAACCTCAACAAGAGGAAACAAACCAAATAAGAGAGAAAGAGAAGGAAACTGTAACCCTCTACTGCAACATGCCTAGAAGGGAAACAGAAACCTAAACAGAGGACTAAAAGATCAACAAAACCTAAAGAAAAGCATTAAACAGAAGAAAATTGCAACCAGTCCAAATGAGCAAACTTCAACAGCTTAGTTTCCGGAATGAGAGTGTTTTGAAATATCCAAAGAATCCTGGATTTCCAAAGCCACCAGAGGATAAATGTTGATAATTGAATTCTGTCCTCTGCAACTTCTGAAAATCCAATGGAGCATATTTTGAACCACCAAGCCCTAAAAGAGTCATTCTCATGCTGCAGCCCGTCCCAACTCACATGAGAGATATCCCAAACTTTGGATGCTCTGTGACAGGAAAGGAGGATGTGTTCAGTGGTTTCTAGACCTTCACCACAAATGGAACAAATGTGGTCAATGTCTATTTTCCTTTTTCTGAGAGAGACAGCAGTGGGTAAGGTTCCATTGATGCACTTCCAAATAAAGTGTTTCGGCTTCCCTGCTACTTTCAGCTTCCAGAGTCTGCCTTGAATTGATCTGTTTATCAGCAAGGGGGAACTGCATTCAGGTAGATCTAGCTGCTGAAGTTTAAGTTTGGAGTGATGTATAGGGACTAGAAACTGAAAACCGGCCTTTTTTTTTATCAAGACCCCAAAAAAATTTGTCCATTCTGTCAGGGTGCAAGGAAGATATGTTTATGATTGCTTCACTTTCTGCAGAATCAAAAACTTGTCTAATTAACCATTCATTCCAACTGAGACCATCTGAGAGAATGAGGTCTTTCACCCATATAAGGTGGTCTATTGCAATAGGAATAAGAGAAGAAGATGGCTTCTGTAAGGATGGTACCCAATTACTGTCTGAGATTTTAGTGAGCATACCATTTCTGATTTCAGTTCTGAGCCATTTTAAGAAGAAAGGCATTACTTCAAGCCAACAATTCCACATCTAAGATCCTTTCTGAGTTTTGATTGCTTGAGTAATGGAAGTTGTGGGGAAGTATCTGTCTTTAAGAATCTTACTGACCAAGAGATCTGGGTTAGTAACTACTCTCCAAAGCTGCTTGCATAAGATAGATTTGTTAAATAATTGCAGATCTAAAAAACCAAGTCCCCCCATCTTTTTTAGGCAGAGTAAGATGGTTCCACTTTTTCCAGTGTATACCTCTTGACTGTTGATCTCCATTACTCCACCAGAACTGAGCACACAGTCTAGAGATTTCAGAGCAAATATTTTGGGGAAGTTTAAAGCAAGACATTGAAAAAATAGGCAGAGCTTGGATGACTGCTTTCAAAAGGACCTCTTTGCCTGCTGGACTTAAGAGCTTTGCTTTCCAATTTTGCAGTTTGTTCTTCACAGAAGTTAATAAATATTGAAAGACTTCTTTTTTTGATTTACCTATTCAAAGAGGCAATCCCAGATATCTGGTAGATCTGTGTGGTATAATGCCATTGAGATTTGCACAGATAGAAGCTTGAAGAACCTACGGTGTATTTCTGCTAAAAAAGATAGCAGACTTTTGTAAATTCACAGTTTGCCCTGTAAAGAGCCTATACTTTTCAAGAATATTCATGAGGACAACTGCTTGATCATTCCCTGCTCTACAGAAGAAGATTGAATCATCAGCAAAGAGAAGGTGTGTCAGCAGAGGACCATTTTTAGACAGCTTCATCCCCCTCAGATATCCATCTTCCACTGATTGAATAATCAAAGTTGTGAGCAATTCTGTGATACTGAGAAATAGATAGGGGGATAAAGGATCCCCCTGTCTAATTTCTCTTGAAGGAGTAACAAAACCATTCACAGTGCCATTCAGTTTAAAAGAAAATGTAGCTGTAGAGATGAAAATCGTGATCATCTGAACAAAATCTCTATGAAATCCCATTTGTAGCATTATTCTTTAGATAGAGAGCCATTCTACACGGTCAAATGCCTTAATCAAATCAAGCTTGAGGGCCATAAAGAAATTTTTACCTAAGGAGTGTTTATTCAGGAAATAGAAAGCTTCTTGGCCAATAATTACATTATCCATAAGCTGTCTTCCTTCTATAAAGGCAGATTGATGTCCAGAGATACAATGATTCAAGCAAGCTTTAAGTCTTTGAGCCAAAATTTTTGAAATGATTTTGTAGACCACAGTGCAGAGGCTGATTGGTCTAAATTGTCCAAGAGACTCTGGATTTTGAACTTTGGGGATAAGAGATAATATCGTGTGGTTCCAGTATCTCAAAAGCTGGCCTGAGGTGAAGAAGCTGTGAATAGCTGAGATAAGGTCTTGTTTAATGAGCTCCCAGAAATGCTGATAAAATTTGGAACTCATTCCTTCCTCACCTGGTGCCTTGTCAGCAGGTAAATGGAACAAAGCTGCTTTTATCTCCTCCTCAGAAATTGCTTTCAATAAAGCTTCATTCATTTCTGGGGTCACTCTTTGAGGGATTAGGTGAAGAATAGAGTCTCCATCCCAGTTGGTTTCAGATGAGAACAGATGGCCATAAAAATCAGAGATGTGAGTCTCCATGTCTGCTTGAGTGGTCAAGATTCTTCCCTGAGCTGTAAGAAGTCTTGTTATGGCATTATGTTTTCTTCTTTGAAGGGTTATAGTATGGAAGAATCTTGTATTTGCATCACCTTCCTTAAGCCACCTGTATCTGGATTTCTGTTGCCAAAAAAGCTCCTCATGAGTATGAGCCATGTTCAAAGCTCTTTTTGGTAAATAGATTGACTTGTCTTGCTATTGTTTTTGGTAAATAGATTGACTTTTAATATACATATATAGATATATAGATGTGTGTGTTTTAGTTCACTTTTATATAAATATCAACTATTGTATTATTCCAAGAAAAAATTTATCTTAGTTATCATATTTAGTCATGAGAAATTCTTATTTTATTACTATTCAATATATAGAGAGTAAAATAAACTATTTGATTAGTAATTTTAGGATATTTTGTAATGTATGACCTTATCCCAATGCAAAGTTAAATCCAATTAGCTAAAGGAAAATTATATTATGCTAAGTCATAATTAGGAGGTGCACAACAATTAGTATATGTAACTTCAAGCACTATCTTCATGTATTATTTGCTTCCAAGTTATAAAATATTAAAAAAAAAATGTGAATATTCTTTAGGCTATTTTATGCTTTTTTTTTATTTTAATATTTTTAATTTTAGTGAGGTAAAAATAACATAAATGTTTGGACCATCAAAATCAGTACTTATGTATATGAAATATATAAGAGAATTTATTGTGTAGTCCGAATTTGAGTTTCAAATATTAAAGTTAAATAAGTAATTATTCATTACTTACGGGTCAATATTAACTTGAATGTAAATTAAACAATCAATTATTTGTAATTTGGTCAATATTAACTTGAATGTAAATTAAACAATCAATTATTTATAGTTTAATAAATTACTTAACCACTTCAATTCTTTAATTTAGATAGATAAAAAAAAAAATTAGAATGAATTTAAGCAATGACTAAGTTTTATAATTATAACTATTATACATATATTTTTAAAAATATATGATAAAATTTTACCATAATAATGATTTTATAGAATCACAATATAGTCGAATCGAATTTCAGAATTAAACATGTTTTATGTAATTTGTACAATTTCAGTTACGTATGACATTTCAATAAATTAATACAAGTAAATTGTATTACACGTTGATTCCATATTTCAACCTATAAATATTATTTAATTTATATTTTTAATTAATAAATATTAATAGATATTTTTTACCCGTGCATCGCACGGATTCGTACGAGTTGAGAAGAAAAAAAAAAAGAAAGAAAATTCAGTATTGTGTACATCATTTCTATTTTGTGTACTTTTATCTTTCCTATTTTTATAACAAAATTATCTGCGATGTCTACTTATGGTAAAGTTAAATGATTAAAAGACAGCATAAAATATATATATTTTTTTTTTAGCTGATTGTGATTGAAAAGATAAGAAAAGGAGCAAAAGAACGGAACTTTTGTTATTCTTCTACTCATAAGTCGTAAAGCATCGGGGGAATTTGTCTCAGCCGTCGCCGTCGCCGTCTCCGTCAACCACTATCAATTTTTTCGCCGGCGTGTAAACGTCCCATTTTGAAGTGGGTTTCTTGGGGTTTGCTTCATACCCTCGCTTCCTCCCTCACTTTCTCTCTCTAATCATATAACTGGATACGTTTTTTCAACACTGCTCTTGTTAAATCATTCAGTGTTGATCGACTCTTTTTCTGCTACCCTTTGGAGGTTTCAACTATGGCGATTGATTAATACCCCCAAAATCCATATAAATTGGACAAATTTTTTCAACGCCCGGCTCTTCTTATATCTTCAGTGTTGCTCTACTCTGTTTCTGGCGATTGTTTATTTCGAATCAAGAAATTTTAATTCCGACAAACCTGTATATATATTTCACTCTGAATAGGATGGTGAGTTGGAAGGATTTCTGGACGAAAAATACGTTGGTGGGACTTGGGTTGGGACAGTTTCTCTCTCTTTTGGTGACTTCGACTGGGTTCTCATCTTCTGAGCTTGCCAAAAGAGGTTGTTCGTTGGCCCCCTTTTCCTCTTTTCGTGTTAACTGATGTTGGTCATCATGCCATTGGTCTGTCATTTTAAGCTAATCGTTTGTTTTTGTTCCGAGTTGTCCTTTTCTGTTCTTTTCGGTTTTCGTCTGTTGGTGCTTGTTAAAGTGGTGCTCTGTTATTGGTTTAGCATTTTGAATAAATCATTAGTTTTGTTCTCAATTCTCTTGTTTCAGTGTCTTGGATTTGATTCCACATATGTAATGCCACACTTTGTTTCAGTGTTCTCTAAGAAAAAAGGTTGTTTTTACTCGATTACTGTATAACCGATCGCTCGTTTGTATGCAGGAATAAATGCACCAACTTCGCAGTCATTCATGAATTATGTATTCTTGGCGTTAATATACGGTAGCATTATGCTCTATAGATGGAAGCCACTCAAGGTCAGTCCTTACTGACCTTAAAGTCATTCAATTAGGTGAAAGGTTTTGTTTATTCAACTTCAGTTCTGAGCACTCATCTGATTTGTTTGAACATTCTGTTATTTCTTCTTGATCCACATGATATAATAATATTTAGTGTTCAGGTGTTGATAGTCTTTTTCAGTTACGTTAGTTCTTTTGAAATTGATGCCAAATTAAATTTTGTACATGCCGAACAAAATTTGAGGGTTTGCAAAACAAAAAAGGAGCAATTATCAGCTTCTATCGGAGAAAATGCATTATTATTTCCTCCAAAGAATTGAGAATTTTATTTAACTATACTATCTGAATTTCTATGATCCATTAGTATATGGAAAATTATATCTAATCAGGATGAGTTTAAGCATCCATTGACACTAAGAACAGAAAGCTCAAAAGTTTTGTTCTTTTGCTCGTTTAAAATGCTGAGTAGAACTGAGGTTGTGAAAACATGGAACAATATATTTACAAGCAGAACATCCAAATTTGTGTATTTATTTCGCCATTGGGCCCTATATTTTTTTTTTAATTTACTGCTAGAATGGGATAGTGGGATTGAATGCTTTAATCCTGAATGAAACCATCAGAATCTTACATCTTTTTTTCCAATCTCCTTACTGTATAAGCAGGCTAAGTGGTATTACTACATTTTGCTTGGATTGGTTGATGTGGAAGCAAACTTTCTTGGTAAGTTACTAACCATGCATTGTCTTCTATTCACTCAAGGTGTGTTTAAAGACATGTCATGTAGCAATCCGGAATCTATCACACTATCTATCATCCGTAGGGTTCAACTGATACCAAGAATATCTTGTACATTGTTTACGGTGTTAGAATTTCTTCTATATACCTCTAACTTGTGATCAGTTGACAAGTACTTGGCATGAACGTCACACCACTTCTCTAGTTGAGTGTCTAAAAAGTTCACGATGTTGTACTTTCACATAAAAATTAATAGTGACTGGACATTTTGCGAGTTAAAGAAATTACCTTTAGATGTTGATGGGTTTGTGGGAGCTAAAATGTTATGTCTTAATTGGTCAAGTTGTCCTTCATGTGATCCAGTGATAACTTTCTATTGCAACTTATAGTGCTTATGCTTTTTTCTTCCTTTCTATGTAGTGTTTGCCTGCCTGCTTCCTGAAAAACTAATTTTCTGAAATTTTTATGTGGAAATGCTTGTTAAGGTCGTGAACCAGAAAATAAATATTCCTTCAAAAGTAAGGCTGATTATTTGTTTGATAATTTGCTTGCAATGAACAACCTGACCATGTTTTGTCTTTTGACATGACAGTGGTGAAGGCTTACCAGTATACTTCAATTACAAGTGTGATGCTGCTGGACTGTTGGACAATACCATGTGTCCTATTTCTCACGTGGTTTTTTCTGAAGACAAAGTATAGATTCATGAAGTTGATAGGTGTAGCAATATGTGTAGCTGGTCTTGTGACTGTTGTCTTCTCCGATGTGCATTCTGCAGATAGATTAAGTACGTGTTCTTATTGTTCTGAAGTAGATTAAATGCAAAATTCAATTATTAATATCATCTATCATCATCCTCCTCCAATCTGCCTTACTATCTTACTTCTATTTTTATACAGTTGGATTAGTGTGAATATTTTCAACGAAGCTTGTCTAGACTATTGAACAAATGAATTTGTCCCTTATCTCTTTCTCTTGTACCCTTTAGCTTTCCTCTCACTTATACCTTCCTTTTTTTTTTACTTATCTTTGTTTGCCCCGTTTCTGCTTCTTTATGTTAGTAACTGTTGTTCATTAGGTGGCAGCAACCCTATTAAGGGTGATCTGCTTGTTATTGCTGGAGCCACACTTTATGGTGTGAGTAACGTCAGCGAGGTAAGTGGCCTTCAGATTGATAATATTTCACATTTGTTTTCAATGTCGTGCAATGTAATCATTAGATAAATACTTCAAAATCATTCTAGTCTTGTATTCCTACTCATTTTTTGAATGACGGGATGAGAGGCAAACACATTTTTTACCCTGATTTTTTCTTTCAAAATTTGGTACTTAATCAAACTGATGATATTATATATTCATCATCAATTGCATTCATTGGTCAACTAATTCTCATATTTTCAGCAATTTTGGAATATCCTCCACTTGCACCTTTTTAACTCCTCCAATTTTGTCTAATATAAATCAATTATAAGCAGATTTTTTAAGTTTTTTCAAAGAACTCAAAATTAGCACAGCTTTATTACCGAAGAAGCCGTTTTATCCTACTTAATCGCTTATTCTTGAAATGTCTAAGTTAAAATTAGGAAATTACGTTCAACCTTAAATATGACCTACTAGCGGAAAAAACATGGATATGCTGCTGCCTTCTGTTGTAAACCCATCTATGACCGATATCTGTGGCTTAGTATGTTTCTATTAGCATGAAATCCTTGAGGTGAACATTTATAGTTTTTTATCGTACTTTCTATGCAGGAATATTTTGTTAAAAGTGCAGATAGGGTCGAGCTTATGGCTTTCTTGGGCGTATTTGGTGGCATCATCAGTGCTTGCCAAATGTAATACATTTTTTTTTTTTTTTTCTAGATTCAAATGTGTTCATTGTGTGTTTTTTTCATCTGATTTGAAAACATCACATGCAATGCTTGTGATCAATGTCTACTTTAATCATGTGCACAGAGTCATACTTGAACGCGTTGAACTCAAGTCTATTCACTGGACAGCTGGAGCGGTATTTCTCTCTTTCCCTCCTTCACAAACACAAACAAACCCCCTATTCTTTTCACATCTCTTTCTCTTTAATTTTTTAGTAAGGCCTGAAATTAAATACTAATTATGATTGATAAAATTTGATTTGTAAAATTGAAATGATATCCTGCTCCCTTTTGCAACAGGCGCTTCCTTTTGTTGGATTTTCTCTGGCCATGTTTCTGTTTTACTCTGGAGTTCCCATCTTATTAAAGGTACCGTGTCATTTTATCTTTAACTCCTGTGATTGCACAAGTTTGAAAATCCATATTTCAGTTGAAGAATTTAAATATTTCGGACTAATACTCGATATCTCTTTTTCTTACGCATTTTATCTTTTCTAAGCCTTCTTTCTATATGCTGCTTTATTTTGTTATTTGCCATTATTACACGTTAGCTAGATAGACTACTATAGAATGGATACTATAAAACATCTATAAGCTGTTTTACTCGGGTTTTTATTTTGATTATGCACCAACCTTTTTGGCTGCCTTTGTTGCAGATTAGTGGGTCCACGATGCTAAATCTGTCATTGCTCACCTCAGATATGTGGGCGGTTTTGATTCGGATATTTGCTTACCATGAAAAGGTCCTGGAAGAACATGTTATTTGGAAAAAAAAATAGGATAATAAGCTGGTTAAATTTTGGTTTTTTACTCTAGAAATATCTAATTTGAAGTTTTTTTTTTTT